CCCCAGGTGAGGAGCACGGCAGCTGTGACGCGTGCACATGCGCGGTGAGGCCTCAGGAATCCAGCGCCAGGGCCAGCCGGGGTCGCGCCCTCTCCCGCCTCCTCCCTGGAGTCGCCGCGCGCCCGCCTGAGGGCCCCGGCAGCAGCAGCGCGCACTGACCTCCGCAGCTCCCGGCGGCGTCCTTGGGAGCGCGGCCGCCTGCGCCGGCCTCGGCAGGAAGCGGGACGGCGGAAACAGAACAGAGCGAAGCCCTTGCCCGAATTTAACGTGGCCACCACAGCCCAGGCCGCTGTGGCCGCGGGATCCCTACAGGACCGGAGCAAAGATGGCCGCCGCGAGCTGCGCGCGAGGGGCGGGGCGAGGGGCGGGGTCGGACCGGCATGCCCGCCCCCGGCCTCCCGGCGGACGCTGACCCGGGGCCTTCCCATTGGTCGCTTCTCGTGGCGGGCTCGGATTGGGCCACATCAGGTCGGGGCGGGTCCCACAGACCAATAGCGACGCGGGGCTGGCGGGCGGGGCGGGGCCTCGCCGGCGCCGTCAAGTAGCCCGGGGAACTGCCGGTGCGGCTCAGAGCGGGTGGGCGGCCGAAAGGCCGGAGCCGCGCGGGGCAGCACCTGGGCCGCTGGCCGCGTCTTCCCGCAGCGCTGCCCGCCATGCCCCCGCCGCGCCGGGCTGCGCTGGGACTCCTGCCGCTTCTGCTGTTGCTGCTGCTGCCGCCAGCGCCGGAGGCCGCCAACAAGCCGACGCCCTGCCAGCGCTGCCGGGGGCTGGTGGACAAGTTTAACCAGGTGAGCAGGGGCCGGCGGGTCATCCACCGTGGGCCCTGGGTCCCCGTCACCCTGGATCCGGGGTCGCCCACACCGTGGACCGGGGTTCCCCTCACCTCGATCAAGAGTCCCCCCACCCTAAACTCGGGATCCGTTCCCACCGTGGGCCCGGAGTCGACCCCACTATAGACCTGGGGTCCCCACACCCTGGGCCCGGGGTCAGGTGGCACCAAGCCCTATGGGCACCATCTCCTTGCAGGGGATGGTGGACACCGCAAAGAAGAACTTTGGCGGCGGGAACACGGCTTGGGAGGAAAAGACGCTGTCCAAGTATGAGTTCAGGTGGGTGCCCGAGCACCCCTGTGGGTCTCTGCCTGGTCCTGTCCTGGGAAGCCGTGACCTGCCTTTGGTGCCTGTGTTAATGACAGGGACACAGAGCAGCCCCCGAGGCACCAGTCACCTGAGAAGGACTAACGGTCGGCTCCTCTCTGGCCTTCCAGCTGCATCTCTGCTCCCTGTAGCTCCCATTCAACAGACAGCGTGAAATGGAACAGCAGCCCCACTTGTGTGAACCACTCCTGGCTTCCCGTGACAGTGGGGTCCCCTTCCCCCCTCTGCCTGGAGTCCCGCCCCCCGGCCCCTGCACCCAGGTTGGTGCATCGGCTGGGGTCCTTCACTGCCTTGCAGTGCTGACCGTGGGCCGTGTGGGCCTGTGTTTCAGTGAGATTCGCCTGCTGGAGATCCTGGAGGGGCTGTGTGAGAGCAGCGACTTCGAGTGCAACCAGATGCTGGAGGCGCAGGAGGAGCACCTGGAGGCCTGGTGGCTCCAGCTGTGAGTGCCGCTGAAACGGCTTAGAAGATGCTTTTTGTTTTCCAAATTATACTTTGCAATTACCTCAGGCTTAGAAAGGTGTGGGAACAGTATGGAGCTCCAACCTGCCTAGCACCCACCTTCCTCCTGTGTCACCTATTCGTACCACCAGAGCCAGCGATCAAAACTGGGGAACGAATGAGAAGATTCTGTGCACGCCTAGACTCTTGTTTCCTGGATCTTATAATACTCTAGAGCATATGTGACATTCCACTGCATTTTTGTTTTAAAGAAATGTGTCTGGTGGGATTCAGTGATGAATGCTTTCTTAAATCTTTAGGAAGAATGAGTATCCCGACTTATTCGAATGGTTTTGTGTGAAAACACTGAAAGTGTGCTGCCTTCCAGGAACCTACGGCCCCGACTGTCTTGGTGCGTTTCTTCTTCGGGAGATCCCATCTCCTGTATCACTTCCCTTCTTCCTTTCGTGATTCTCGGGGATAAAAGCACAGAGGGGACCTGGGGTGCGTCAGCTTTCTGTAGCGTCTGTAGCTTTCTGCTTTCTGTTGGACAGCTGCCTCCCCCACCCCTCAACACAGCTCGGAGCTGCAGCCTCAACACTAACCTCACGCTTTAGCTGTGAAACTCTGGGTATCTTATCCCAGCTGTGCTTTTAATTCAGAGGTTCACAGGCTCAGGTGGTCCACAGGTGAGTCCACTCACCTAAGAGAGTCTGCCCTGACTGACCTGTCCAGTTACTTCTCTCTGCGTGCACAGAGGTGGCCACACAGCTGCTTCTGTGGCTGCCATCGCAGCCCTGCCCAAAGAGCAGCAAAGACCTGTCTACAGAGAGCCCAGGGCAGTGGGTGTCTAGCAGGCTGGGCGCATGGCCTTGAGCCTTAATGGGTGATGGAGGACAGGGCCCTTCTGTGAAGAAGTATGTATTGAAACTGAAGCCGCGGTGTACTGCTGATAAAAGCTCATCGCGTAATCAAGCTGGATCAGGTGGCAGAAGTTTCAGGTTCAGGACCCCCCCCACCCCCTGTCGGCCTCCTGCCAGCCTCTGCTGCTGTCCCTGGCGTGTACTGGGGGCCACAGCTGATATTCCCACTCTCCCTGCAGTCCCCACGCCTAACCATAAGTGTCCTCATCACCATGTTTCAGCTGAGGCTGCCCAAAGCCACAAAGTGCAGTCACGCATAACGACCAGGTGTGTTCTGAGAAACGTGTCATTAGGTGACTTTGTCATTGTACAGACATCACAGAGTGCCCTTCACAAACCTAGATCGTGCTGCCTGCTCCGCACCTAGGCTGCCGGGCAGGGCCTGCTGCTCCCAGCCCACTTCACACCTAGGCTCCCTGGCAGGCCCTGCTGCTCCCAGGCTGCACACCTGCATGGCACGTGAGGGTCCTGAGTCCTGCGGGCCACTGTGACATGATGGTAAGAAGGTGTTACCTGAACACACCTAAGTATAGAACAGGTAATGTGTCATATTATGATGTCACTAGGCAATAGGAGCTTTTCAGGTTTTTGCCATCTTGGGGACAGCTGTGGCATGTGTGGTCCCTTGTTGACCTAAATGTCATCACGCAGCATGTGACTAGCGAAGGCTGGGAGCCTGTGGTTTGCTCCACTCAATGATCAACCTTCAGCCCTGCAGATCCCAGGAAATCAGTTTCCCTAAACACCCACACCCCAAGCCTGCAGGCTCATGCTCGTCCTCAGAATCCTGCAGGGTTTGGGTTTGACCGTGCATTTTGAGGGGTGCAGTCTGTTCTCTCCGTGTGAGAACACCCCACTGGTCACCTCCAGGTGGGCTCTGATCATGGTTTTATGTCCCCCAAAGAGTGCCAGGGCGGGTCCCAGAGGCCCTGCAGCGGGAATGGCCACTGCAATGGAGATGGCAGCAGACAGGGCGACGGGTCCTGCCGGTGCCACGCGGGGTACCAGGGCCCGCTGTGCGCTGAATGCATGGATGGCTACTTCAGCTCGCTCCGGAACGAGACCCACAGCTTCTGCACAGGTAGGGGCTATGCAGTCATTGTTGATCTCTTAACCCCAGAGGTCCAGGGAAGCTTAGGGGGCCGAGAAGGGTGAATGAAAATGTCAAAGGATAGAGGCAGAGCAAGCTCAGCCTGTAACCACCCCAGAAGGGAGAAGCTACTCACTTTTTCTCTAGCTCGAGGTCCACCCCTGACCCTGAGTTGTGATGGGCCACGCTGTGCACAGGTCCTGGAGGTGCTGTGTGGACCCTGCACGGGCCCGGGGGGGAGCGTCTATGAGGACCGCCAGGCTTGACTTTCACGAATCCCTGCAGGCCGCATGAGTAACGTCTTTCCAAAAGACGTTTTCTCCCTGGTTACCACTGACATGTAGGAAGACTCTGGGTGTACTGATGTCCCAGAGGTGAGTGCATGGTTGCCCAGCAGCCCCCAAGCTCTTCTGGGCAGATGGACCTGTGTCTCTTCAGTCAGGACTGGCCTCTCCGATTCTTACACCCCTTGCCATCTCTGTCTCTCGGACATTGGCGTGGCATGGGGCACACATGGATCCATGGCCGGAACACATGCACCCAGCCACGCTACAGCTCCAGGGTATGGACAGAGTATACCTTCTCCAGGTTGTTAAAAATTCCATGGAGTTCTGGTTTGCTGAGAATTTCAAATTCATGGGCACTGAAACTCTTATGTTGCTTTTTCCCCTTCAATTCCTCACTTCTCAATGAGCCTTGTCCCCACACTGGCACCTGAGATGGGGTTGGTACCCATGCCCGCCTTTGCCTTCCAGCCTGCGACGAGTCCTGCAAGACGTGCTCAGGCCCGACCAATAGAGACTGCAGCGAGTGCGAAGTGGGCTGGGTGCTGGAGGAGGACGCCTGTGTGGGTGAGGAGGGCCGGGGGTGGTGGCTCCCCAAGGGCCACTTCTGCCCAGCCCCTGCATCCCCCTCCCGCCAGCTGCTCCCCATCACGGCCCTCCCATCTCTGCACATTCTGGGTCACAGGAAGGACCCTCGAGTGGACGCCTCGGCTCCCACACCTGCGATCCCACCATGCACGGATCAGGAAGGACCGAGGGGCTTCCTTCCTACCTTCTGCAGCCTAAACTCTGGACTGGCAGGCATTGGGGCCACAGTGTCCTTGCTGTCGGCTGGCCCTGGGACTGTGGGGCTGTGGTGCCAGCTGCCCTGAGTCGGCCAACAGTGTCTGAGAACTTACCCAGTGTGTTCCTGGGAGGGAAGCCTCTAGTGGGGGCCAGTATGTCCTCCCATGTGGGTTTCAGAGGACACACAGATGGCGAGTATCGGGGTGGTCTTGGCTGCACGCATGGTGGCAGAGGCTGGTGGGTCCCAGGGAATGTAGGCAGGGACAGCACGGTGGCACAGCTAGGTCTGGGATCAGGTAAGCGGGCAGGCCAGGCTGCCAGCGCGTGTGATGGAAACTGCCTCCCACCACCCACCCCCACACACACAGTATGCTCAGGGTAGCGGGGAGCTGCCCACGAGCTCCTGCTGTCCGAGGGGTGTGGCAAGCTGACTCCATGCCTAGCAGTGTTCAGCCAGGAGGGGCTGTCGCCTCCTAACACAGGCCTCCAGGGCAGTACGGGGCTGGGTGTTCCCCAGCTTTGTGCTGTGCTTCCCCTACCCCGTCCCCCGCATGCTGGGCACCCCTACCCCATCCCCCGCATGGTGGGCACCCCTACCCCGTCCCCCGCATGGTGGGCACCACCTGCCTTGGCTGCACCTCTTCTCTTACCTCCAGCCTGGCTGCGGGCACAGGACTTACAAAGCCAGCCGCCCTGCAGCGCCTCTGAGCCCTGGAGAAGCCAAGGGCTCTGGCTCTCCGGGAAGGTGCTGGCACTGACTGTGGCCTTCCCATAGGCCAGGTGCTGGGCGGGCAGGTGGAGGCTGGGCTGCCCCCTCCCTCTGTGAGCCTGGGTTTTGGTTTCACCTGTCAGCAGCTTCTTGGCCTCAGGCAGATTCGAGGCTCAGCCTCTGGCAGGTTCCACAGCTCTGGGGGAGAGCAGGAAGGACGTTGGGGCATGAGGTGTGGAGACTTGAGGCGTGAGGTGCTCACGTCTCATCCTCACGTGATGCGCCACCATCCTCACAGGCCCCTCCCCCAGTTGGCGCTGAGTGTCTAAGGACAGGGCCTGGCTGTCACCTCATCCCCTCCCCTGCCATTTGGGGCCTCCGAGGTTGGCATTTGAGATAATTTCCACCAGGGACTGCCCTCCTCCCTGCCCTTCCCCAGCCGGCCCTGGCCATGATTGGTACTCCCCTGCTCCCTGGCCAGGCCACCCTGGCCACTCACAGCTGTGCTGCTGTGTTCCAGATGTGGATGAGTGTGCGGCTGAGACACCTCCTTGCAGCGCCGCCCAGTTTTGCAAGAACGTCAACGGCTCCTACACATGTGAAGGTGGGCCAGGCGGGCGGGTGGGCATGGACTCCGGGCCTCACTGGGTGTCATCACTCCTTTTGTAAACATTCATTTATGATTTCCTAGCATCACTTCTATACATCCTGCTTGCTTTGAGAGCTCTTAGTGTCATAGGTATTTACTGCAGGAAAATCAGAAAATTCAAGTAAGATGGAAAAAAGCAGTTAAAAACCCCTGAATTCCATGGAGCCGGCCCTGCTAATGCTTCTCCAATGTGCACGGATGGTGATTTTCCATAGCGCCTGGCAGTGGTGTTTTCTGCCCAGCCACACATCGTGAACGTTTCCGCGTGTCCTGTGGTTTCTCATTAATGATTTTGGAGCATGCCATTATTTCATACTTTTTTTTTTTTTTTAAAGATGGGGTTTTACCATATTGATCAGCTGGTCTGGAACTCCTGACGTCAGGTGACCCACCCACCTCAGCCTTCCAAAGTGCTGGGATTACAGGCGTGAGCCACCACGCCCAGCAATTTTTGTATTTTTAGTAGAGATGGGGTTTCACCATGTTGGCCAGGATAGTCTCGATCTCCTGACCTTGTGATCCACCCGCCTCAGCCTCCCAAAGTGCTGGGATTACAGGCGTGAGCCACCGTGCCTGGACCTATTTCATACTTTTCTAAAACAATGGATGTTTACGTCTAACAATTTTTCAGCTGTCAAAAACTGTGAATACTCTTGAAGGAAAAGCTTTTCACATTCCTTATTATTTTTTTGGATTAATTTCCAATTCGTCACTCAAGGGAACATGTCTTCAGGGCCATAGGGCCCCAGAAGAGTTGTGCCGATCCCCAGTCCCAGCAGCAGGGAGGAGGCTGCCTCTGCCCTGTGTCTGCACAGCCCTGGGCAGTTCCACGGTTGCGAGTGCAGACAGTGGGACCCCAGTGCCACCACACTGGAAGCTGTGCGGGAGGCTCCCCGAATTTTTGGCTCTGGGAAGGCTGACAACCCAATGTCACGGAGGTGGGGGTGGGTTTTGTTTCTAGAACCTCTGTGGTACCTAGTTTCTCCCCAAAGGGTTCCAAGCCAGGGGGTCTGTGCCGTGGCTTTCCAGGAGCTTCTGCCACATGGCAGGATGCAAGTCTGTGCTTTTGCCATGAGACAGAGATAGGTTGTTATGAAGTCACATAGCGATGAATGAGGAGAAAACCCAGATCTCCCTGGTACTGGTGCCCTGCACGTGTGTTGGGATCCGACACCGCTCCCTGTTGTCCCCAGCACTGTGTCCCCGTGCCTTGCATGTGTAGGGGTCTGACACCTGCTTCCTGTTGTAGAGTGTGACTCCAGCTGCGTGGGCTGCACAGGGGAAGGCCCAGGGAACTGTAAAGAGTGCATCCCCGGCTATTCGAGGGAGCTCGGACAGTGTGCAGGTCAGTGATGGGGTATGTGCTGGACACAGATGGACATTCCGAAGGGACCACGATGTGAACGGCCCCAGGAGCTGCTGCCCGGGGGTGGGAAGCAGCTGAGACCCATCTTGCAGACGCCACTCTCCCAGGGTTACTGTGCACTCTCACCCTGTGGGCCACATGAGACACACAAGCAGTGGGGAGTGCGGGCGTGGGCTCTGCATGGCCGACCCCAGTGTGGATGGTGCTGCTGCACTTGCCTCTTGCTGATGGCCTTGTTCCCAGGTCCAGAGCCTCCGCTCTCCCTCCAGCTCCTGGGTGGAGCACGCTCCAAAGCTCAAGGCCAGGCCTGCCGAAGTTGTGGCCTGCCTGGGTGAGCCTGGGCTTGGCTGGAACCCAGGGGGAGAAAGTGGCTTCCTAGGTGCATGCTGGGCTGCCAGCCTCCCCTGGAGGTCTCTGCATTTTCCGCGGTGGCAGGCCCAACTTTGAAACGTGAAATTCTGCTCCCATGAAGCCTTTCCTGATCTTTGCTCCCTTCTCTAAGATGACATTTGTCATTGCTGTGCTTTATGTGAATGGATTTCATCATCTGCTGTGAATCTGCTAGGTGAAGTAATTACTAAAATGAAGTCTCTGAATTTTAGACGTAGATGAGTGCTCACTAGCAGAAAAAGCATGTGTGAGGAAAAACGAAAACTGCTACAATACTCCAGGGAGCTACGTCTGCGTGTGTCCTGACGGCTTCGAGGAAGCAGAAGATGCTTGTGTGCCGCCGGCCGAGGCCGGTGAGTGGCGCGGCTCCCGCTCCACAGCCTGCCCTCCCTGGGGCACGGGGTTTGCATGGAGACTGGCTGCTTGGTCTGAAATCCACACAGACAGTGGCCTTGGGGTGGTGAGAGTGGGGTTCCCGGGAGACAGGTGTGTGGCACCTCTGTGGGCACCAGCTTCCTGAGGATGAAGCCCCGGGGTTAACAGCAGAGACGGAAGGGAAGGCGATGGAAGGGAGAGTCTCTGGAGCTCAGACCTCAGCGGGTGATGAGCAGGGGAGCAGACGTGGGGAAGAGCAGCTGATGAGCTGGAAAAGTCATCTGGGAAAGGCGCCACAGAAACAAGGACAGGCAGGAGGGGTGGAGGGCAAGCAGGTTCCCCAACTGTACCTGTTTCCCAGGGCTGCCTCACCAAGAACCAGGGACTCGGGGCTCCGGCAACAGAAAAGTGCCTCTCATAGCTCTGGAGCCAGAAGTCAGAGGCCCAGATGCAAGCAGGCTGCTTCCTTGGGAGGCTGGCGGGCGCGCTTGTTTCGGCCTCTGTCCTCGCCTAGGGGCGGCGCCATCTGCTCCCATGTCTTCACATGGGCTCTCTGTGGACGTCTGCAAACCCCCCCCTTCATAAGGACACCAGTCACTAATGCCCTCATGTCTGTAAAAGCCATGTTTCCGAACACGGTCGCAATCACAGAGTGTCGCCCATGGCAGTCCTCAAAGAAGTCTAGAATATAGAGAGGGGAAGGAAGCAGTGTTCAGGGAGATATTGGCCAAGAATTTTCCAGAATGAATAGGGCATGACTCAGATTCCAGAAGCTGTTTCCTGAGCAGGACACATAAAAGCAATTCCTCATCTAGAAGCATCGTAGTAAACAGAAACCCCAAAACAGGAGAACTGAGGCGTCAAAGACAGGCCAGAGGACAAGGCTGCTTGCCGCCCCCTCGGTTCCCTCTGCCTGGGGCAGGGGCAGCCCTGCCTCTTGCCCCTCCCTCTCCCCACCCTCGGTCTCTCTTGCCCCTCCCTTCTCCACCCTCAGTCCGCTCTTGTCCCCCCCTTACCCCACCTTGGCTTCCTCTTGCTCTGGGGCCGGCCCTGCCTCTTGCACCTGCCTCCATCCTCTTTTGCCCTTCCCTCACCGTTGCTCAGGCTCTCCTGCAGGACTGCAAGGAACCCCTGCCACTCCCAACTCGGCATCCTCCACGCCCACACAGTGTGGCAGCTCCAAAGTACCTCATGCCACATCTCTCATCTGCTGTGGGGAACCCGGGGTCTCCAAGCTGCCCTTGGACAGGCTGCTGTGTCCGGGGCCTTGAGTCAGGACTGGCTGGGCCGGCCCTGCATGTGCCCCTGCTGTTCTGGTAGGGGCCTCGTCTCAGGGCTGTGGCGCTGAGCTCTGACGACTGTGCTTGTTTTCTGACAGAAGTCACAGAAGAAGAGAGCCCGACACAGCCGCCCGCCCATGAAGACCTGTAGTGCGCATCAAGCCAGAAGCCAGACCTGCCCTTTAAGTTATTGAGAAGGACGTCCTGTGGGAACAAGGCCTGCGGTGGAGCTGCCTGCTCTCGGTGGTGGGTTCTCACTTGGCCCTTAAACAGCTGCATTTCTTGGTTGTTCTTAAACAGACTTGTCTATTTTGATACGTTGTTTGTAATAAAATTAACCACTGAAGGTAGTCAGGAAGAGAACGGCTGTGATTTGTTTCATTCAGCAGGACGGACCTTTCCCGTGAGTCTGCGCCTGTCCTGCAGAGCCAGGAGGTGGCCAGGGCTGCTGGGGTCTGCAGGGGCCGCAGGTCCCATCCTGGGCTGGTGGCTCTGCTTTCCATGAACAGGGATCACGTGGCACTTGGGGGAGGAGGTGGGGGCCTTGCCTCGGGCAAGAACATGACATTGTGACCAGGTTGGCTTCCAGGGTCCAACCTGTGGGCCCCCTTCAGTGATTCCAAGGATGTACACAGGGACCCTCAGGTTGGAGAAAGGCATCTTTGGGGTCCGCACTGGAGGAACAGCCAATCACAAACCCCAGGGCTTGCCCATTCCTCACCTGGGAATGAAGAGACTCCAAAAACAAAGCTGGCTGTGGGTGAGAGGCCGCAGGCTCCGGGAGCTCCGTTCTGAGGGCCGCGCCTCCTCCCTGGGCTACTCATAGCTCCCAATTCCCACTTGGCCTGGTCTGTCCCACCCGTTCCTCCTCGGTCACACTGCCCCTCCTGTCCATGCCAGTGTCCCCAGGGGGTGGGTGGCTGTCCATCCTGCTCCTGCCCTGGCCCAGGCCATGCACTGCCCTGGCACTAGTGACCCCCATGTCCACACTGTTCCGTATCCATGAACCCACCTCAGTGCACCCATGCTTCCTAGCTCCGGGTGGTCCCTCTTACCTGGAAATGGGAACACGGCCCCTGCAGGAAGACTCTGCCCCGTGCTCCCTGTTGGGCAGAGGCGGCCACAGCGCACTTGGGCAGGCTGAGTGGTGCCTGGCCCTGTGTCTCAGCTCAGGCTCTTCCTGGGTCCGTTGCACTCAGCAGCCTTGCTGCATCTCCCCTTCTCCCTCTAACCCTAGGCCAGGGTGCCCCAAATCCCTAGAGGGGGCACAGCTCGCTGCTCTTGTCCACTTGAGACCTCTCAGGGAGTCTCTGCTTCATGTGCCATTGAGGCCACCTAGAGATGGGGTTCTGACTGCAGGCCAAGGGCAGAGGCCAGAGGGGTGGGGGCTGGGTGGGCCCTCTGGGGGCTCAGAAAGTGGGGTCATAGCATGGCAGTGAGGCCAGGGGGATGGCCGTGGAAAGAAGTAGGGGGACACCAGCTGAGTCCCTGGGGGGGCTGAGCACCTGAGTCTCCAGTGGGAGGGTGCAACTCCCAAGGGTGGGTGGGAACTAGGCGACCCCAGCAGGAATCCCCAATGGACAGGCCCTGTCCCTAGGGGGTGCCTTCGGGAGGTGGTGAGCCTGGGTGAGGAGGAGAGGGCACAGCCAGTGAGGAGGATGTCCCAGGGGAGAGGAGGAGCCCAGCAGGGGCTGGCCCAGGGCCACTTCGTTCTCTCCCACAAGGGCGGACAGAGGCAGCCCAGGCGCCTCCCACATCGGGCACGTCCCTGCGCGGCTCAGCCCTGTGGAGCAGCCATCTCAGGTGGGACTTGGTAGGGTCTGGGACCCCCGCCCCTCTCCTGCAGGAACTCCTAGGCGCCTAGTCCTCCCAGCTGCAAGGATGCCCCTCCCTGGGGCGTAGAAGGCCCGCCCGCGGTTCTGCACGCTGGGATCAGGACCCCGGCCTGAGCCTCCACCCTGACACAGAACCGCAGCGACCCCCCGGGCGCGCAGCAGGGGCGACCCCAGCCTCCGCGTTTGTCGCCAGTGAACACGAGGGAGTCCCTAGCTGGGGATCGGGGCCAGCCCAGGCGGGGTCCCCGCGGGACACGGAGGGCGGAGGCTGGTGGGGGCGGGTGGGCGGGAATGAGGGACGACCCCGCGGGCAGGGATGGGGCAAGGCCGCAGGCAGAGTCCTTGGGACCGCGGGGCTGGGGCCCACCTGCCTGGGTGCCCGAGGGGCGCCGGCGGGGCGGGGCTGGGACCAGACGCGCCGCCTCCTGGAGGAACCCTGGCCTGCCTCTCCGCGTGCGGCGCCGCCGGCTCCCGCCCGACTCGGCGGACCCCGCCTCGGACGGCGTCTCCTGCCCGGGCCAGCAGGTGGGCGGCGGGGCCGCTGGGCCTGGGCCGGGGACCCGCGCGCGGCCGGCAGGTGGCGCTGTGGGACCGCTCCCGGCCCGTCTCCCGGGACACCGCCGGGCCCGGCCCGCTGCACCTGCCCCGTCACACCTGGGCGCTGCACCTGCCCCGTCACACCTGGGCGCTGCCGGGGCCTCCTTCTACGGGAACTTGGAAGAGGGAGGTTGGGGTGAACTGTGGGCCTCCGCTGTCCTTCTGGGCCCAGGCAGGGACTCCGCCATAGCCCTTGGGGAGCCCCACTCTGGTCTGCAGGGCTGCGAGGGCCCCCACCTTGCTTCCCCGACTCCAGCCGCTTGGTTTGGGGATACAGCGCGTACGCGGGTCCTGGAGGTGGCTTCCATTCCCACAGGGCACATCAGGCTAGAAGCTTCTAGAAGTGCCCCCTGGCCAAGCCCATCCCTGCCCTGGATTTGCCCTAAACCGGCCCCTTGATGGAATGCAACAGACCCTGGACGGGACCCTGCAGGATGGGACGTACTGTGAGCCAGCGGTTCTCAACAGGCAGCCATCATGTCCCCCGGGGACATGGGACCACCTCTGGAGGCGCTGTGCTTGTCACGACTTGGTGAGGAAGGCTCTTGCCAGGACACAGGACACCCTGCCACAGAGGACGGCCCCCACCAGAGGACGAGCCGGCTCCCGCTGTCACCAAGGTGGACAGATGCTCCTGGCAGCCCCAGACAGCAGCCTGGACCTCAGCCGAGTGTGATAGACAGGGAGGTGGCTGTGGTGTGAATGTGGGTCTGCTCTGGGAACACCAATCATGGGGTGGGGTCCACACAGGCCAGGACCCCCTGTGCCTGCTGCATCCTGCTGTCCCGGATGTACCTCATCCCCCTGAAGATGACAGTTCCCTGCTTAGCCTCACGATGGGGCTGGTCTGAGAGCCAGTCCCAGCGGGCAGGTTGGAGACACAGCCACTGGGCATCCATGGCCAGGCCGTGCATCTCCGCAGGTACCCAGAACCGTGCCAGGAGTCCTCCATGCCGGCACGTGACACCCACTGCGGTTGGCATGGCCTCTCTGAACCTGTGTGTGTGGAGGGTCTTCCATGGGCACTTGACCTTAACCCCCCTTTACTGCCTGCACCTGCAGTCTGCAGGGTCAGATTGTATGTAGCAGCCAGGACGCTGGAGCTGGGCTTGGGCGCACGCTGGAGCTGTTCCTGCTGTGCCCATTCAGAGCCATCCTTTCATGTCCCCCAGGATTGGGTTGGAGCAGAGTCCCCAGATGTGGAACATGTTGTTCCAGCTCCCAGAAACCTTCCTGCTGCTGTGTGTCCTCGCGGGGGCTGCAAGGGGCAGCCACTTATTTGTCCTGTGCTTTGGAGGGGATTCTCTCGCTCAGGAGGGTCCAGTATGCTCACCATGTCTTGCTCATCTGGTCTCATTAGCACAGGGCCATCGGTAGAGGGGGCCAGTGTGACATTCTGGGGACATTCAGCTGGTGTGGGTCTCTGAAGTATTGTGAGAGGGCAGGAGGTTACTGCAGCCCTGGGGAGGAACTGGGTATGTTTCCTGTTTGCATTCCAAGGGAGTGTGTCGGATCTTCCTTCCAGACAGGGGATGGAGGAGAATGCTTGCCCAGCAGTGGCCTCACTGCACACCTGGGGCTGGGGAGCCCTCTCTAGCAGAGGCACCATATCTACCTGGGTTCTTTGCAATAGTCCACTCTCCTCCAGGACCCACCCACTTGCCTTTGGCAGTGGTCAGATTGGTGGATTCAAAGGCGATCCTTGGCCAGGCATGGTGGCTGACTCTACTGTAATCCCAGCACTTTGGGAGGCCAAGGTAGGTGGGTCACCTGAGGTCAGGAGTTCAAGACCAGGAAGATGGCAAAACGCTGTCTCTACTAAAATATGAACATTAGCCAGGCTTGGTGGCAGGTGCCTGTAATCCCAGCTACTCAGGAGGCTGCGGCAGGAGAATCGCTGGGACCCCAGAGGCTCCACTGCACCCCAGACTGGGCAACAGAGTGAGACTCTGTCTCACAAGAAAATGAGTTCCTTGCACCCTTTAGGTCTTTAGATGTGTCCCTAATGTCCCCCAGTTTTGATTTACTGTTTTAGGTGGGGACGGCTGCAGAGATTTGCACTGGACTTACCCACTATGGCAGCAAAGGAAACGGTGTCTACCATCAGGAATGCCTGCTCTGTCCATCCTGCGGCGGGGGAAATGTCCTGGGCAAATGCAGACTCCTGGTGGATCAGACCTCGCCAGAATCCCACTGCTCACCTGGCTCCTTCCTGTCAGCCCCTCGCTCTCATGGGAGCCATGAGGACGCCTCAGGCTTTTGAATGCCAGCATTGCCCAAACCGTGTCCAGCACTTCTCGAGATGTGTGCGTATTTCCCTTGCTCCATGTCCAGTTACCGAGGCCAGCGGCAGAATCATCGTGGTGTGGATTTGCCGTGGTGCTGCACATCCTCTTGTGGACTCAGCCTTCACTTTAGTGAGTGTTCTTTGGGTCGGAAACGCAGTCAGCTCTAGAAACTGGGCAGAGCCATGACTTTTTTTGTTTTTATTTATTTATTTTTGAGACAGAGTCTCTCTGTGTCACCCAGGCTAAAGTGCAGTGGTGAAATCTTGTCTCACTGCAACCACTGCCCCTCGGTTCAAGTGATTCTCCTGCCTCAGCCTCCGGAGTAGCTGGGATTACAGGCACGTGCCACCACAGCTGGCTAATTTTCTGTATTTTTGGTAGAGATGGGGTTTCACTGTATTAGCCAGGATGGTCTCAATCTCCTGACTTCATGATCCACCTGACTTGTCCTCCCAAAGTGCTGAGATCACAGGCTTGAGCCACCGTGCCCAGCTAATTTTTGTATTTTTAGTAAAAACGAGGTTCACTATGTTGAGCAGGTTGGTCTTTAACTCCTGAAGTGATTCACCTGCCTCACCTCACAAAGTGCTGAGATTACAGGCTCGAGCCTCTGAGCCTGGCCATGGCTTTTCATTGGA